GTCATATAGGTATTTTAATGATCTATACGTATAATAATAAATCAAAATAATATATATATATATATATAGGTACCAACAATGATGAGCTGATAATGTGAATACCTGGATGCGGCGGCATAGGTAGATCACAACTGATTCGTGCTGTCACCAAATACTTTCTTATTACAAAAAGAATGCACATGATGCGAAAACTCGCACCCACCGGAATCGCTGCTGCTGAAATTGGCGGCATGACAATTCATTCATTTTTAGGTGAACAACGTAATTCGGGAAAGCCGCGCACCATCAAACCAGGTGATTCCAAACTTGAAAACCAATGGAGACTCGTTGAGTATCTCCTAATTGATGAGATGAGTATGGTTGGTTTAACTCTACTTGGAAAACTCAATCGAATTCTTTCCGCTGCCAAACATGTCGATCCTCAAATTCCATTTGGTGGCATAAACGTCATATTTTTTGGTGATTATTTACAGTATCGACCAGTATATGATGCACCGTTGTACACTGACTTTTCACAGCCCTTTAAAAACAAATCAGGTCAATTACGTAGTGAAAAAGAAATTCAACAACGCGCTGCACGTTCCCTGATACTTCAAATTAACTGTGTAATCAAACTTAGTCAACAGATGCGAACAGAAGATGAACGATACCGTGAATTACTCGAACGGTTTCGTCAAGGTGGCTGTAATTTGCAAGATTATGAATTATTGTCAACACGCGTCGTTGGTCAGCCATCGGTTAGTTCTCTTCACGAATCGCCATGGAACGAAGTAAATTCTTTTTTCTTTTTAAAATCATTTTTCATCGTTTTGATGTTTATTTAGGCTCCCATTTTAGCATATCGAAATGAAGTACGAACACAATTAAACAACAAAGCAGCAGTTCATAATGCAGCACAATCAGGTCACTAGCTAATGGTATGTGTCGCTCAAGATACCTGCAAAGGAAAACCAATTGAAGATCTTATACTTATGAAAAAAGTATTGGAATTATCTGACAGCAAGACGGAACACTTACCCGGTTTGTTGCTATTTGTGCCTGGGATGCCAGTTATTTTAACGCAAAATCTTGCTATTGAACTGGGTCTTATTAATGGTATAAATGGAATATTTCGACAAATTAGTGTACCAGGCTGATTCTGTGTCAACAGATGCTCTGTCTAACACATTTCCGAACAACACACAGTACGTGCATC